GCCACTGGAAGCACTGTTTGTCTGGCCCCCAATTACCGATATTATTATTTTTCAAAATAAGGGTTTTTAATTTATGACATGGCAACGTCTATTAGATGATTGATTCTCAGGCATATTCTTTTGGCCAGGCCCCAGGAAATGAAGGATACTGTGCAGAACCTCCTCACTTATTCCAAGTGGGTGAGAGAAAGCAGGGGAGGAGGGAAGGAACCATTGGCAGTACTATTTTTCTAGAAAAAGAGGTGCCATAACTCACCATGAACTTCTCCCTTGTTCCCTTATAATGGTAATGGCGCCCAGCTGAGAGGTGCTGGAACTGAGTTTCAATGAATTCCTCTTGAAAAAATCCCTGATTGTCTATCTGGACTTATACTAAGGAAAGCCAAGCACCATACCTCTCCTGAAAATTTTTATGACAGGGGAATTTGAAGGTGAAGGGGGGGGGGACAGATTCTGGAGAGCTGAGGCTGACACTTATCTAACTCTTTTATAACTTAAGTGTGGTAGAGGAAGAAGAAAGGAAAATACTGGGAACATTAGAAGAATATCCAAGTCAAAAAATATTCTTGACTCACACCCACAATGAGGCTATTTCAAGCTACAGTGGTACCTCGGGTTAAGTACTTAATTCGTTCTGGAGGTCTGTACTTAACCTCAAACTGTTCTTAACCTGAAGCACCACTTTAGCTAATGGGGCCTCCTGCTGCCGCTGCGCAGCCGGAATTTCTGTTCTTATCCTGAAGCAAAGTTCTTAACCTGAAGCACTATTTCTGGGTTAGTGGAGTGTGTAACCTGAAGCGTATGTAACCCGAGGTACCACTGTACACTGTATACAGTGAAGTCTCTTTTGGTTACTGTCCCTTTACATCCAGCAAGATATGTAAGTAAAATAACGGCACCACATGTAATTATAACAGGAAGAAAAGTGTTTCCATGAGTGGTTGCAAAGAGGGAGCGGTTCTAGGGAACATCAACAGAGTACTGAAATCTAGGTCAGTAGCCATTTAAGATCCATTGCAATATGAGCCGTGAAGTAGAGCTTGTATCCGCCACCCTTCACTGCCATCATTTCATAAAGTTTGCCACCACAAATATCATAAGACTTTAGAGGGGGTAAATACCATTGCATTCAATGGGATTTAGTTCAGAGTAGAGATGCTTAGGACACAGTTCAAATCTAATGGTGATATGGAATTTACTTTACACCAGAAGTGGTGAAGAAAAGTAGATGCTTGCTGTATTGCTAAATCTTTTTGCTGCTTGAATTTTTTCTGCAAATATGTTAGTCATTTAGAGGTATTCTTTCTGAACACCCTTCTAACTCTCGTGGTGCCATCAAAGTGCAGACCTGAAATCTAACTTCAAGGTGTTTCTACTTCACTCCAAATAGAAAGACCTTCTCCCAATGGTATCAGTTAAGCTGTTGCTACTGATAGGAAGTAGGAGGCATGACTAACATTGGCACTAGGTAATTTGAAGAAAGCACATCAGGGGAATTTCCCAGGGCCACTTCTTACGTATTTTAATCGTGCACTTACAAAAAGATTTATTGCTCTCCAAACACTGCATTAAGGTTGGCGGTTCAAATCCCCGCGACGGGGTGAGCTCCCATTTCCCATTTCCCAGCTCCTGCCAACCTAGCAGTTCAAAAACATGTCAAAGTGCAAGTTGATAAATACCTCTGGCGGGAAGGTAAACGGCATTTCCGTGCGCTGCTCTGGTTTGCCAGAAGTGGCTTATTTATGCTGGCCACATGACCCGGAAGCTGTACGCCGGCTCCCTCGGCCAATAAAGCGAGATGAGCGCCGCAACCCCAGAGTCGGTCATGACTGGACCTAATGGTCAGGGGTCCCTTTACCTTTACCTAATAGTGCAATTCAAGTGCCCCAAGATGAGTGAATAGGCGACTCTTGGGCTGTCTCAGCTAAGCTGAGTCTGTGTTGGCTTAGTCTGGGCTCAGCTGGCAGAATGTAAACTGGCACCATCATAAGTCCCAAAAAACTGGACATGGGGTGAGACAGGGAAAGGAGGGACTTGCACCAGTTCTGAACTTCTTTTTGTTCAGGTACATGACCTGACAACTCAGTGGAACTTACACTGGCAAAAAAGGGTGGTATAAATCAAACTCTGTTTTAAAGTCTTGCTTCCCCTCTGCTGGGCTTGGGCTGGCTCAACTGGCAGGAGCCCCACCCCTGGTTCTGCTCCTTCCTCCTGGGCCGTGTTCAGAACGTGGTGTGGGAAATGAGTGTTCAGTCCCCTGGGCTCTCACTTGTGGGGTGCCTCAGGGTTCTGTCCTCTCCCCCATGCTTTTCAACATCTACATGCAGCTGCTGGGAGAGATCATCAGGGGGTTTGGGTTGGGTGTTCATCAATATGTGAATGATACCCAGCTCTACCTCTCTTTCAAATCCAAACCAGTGAAGGTCTTGTGTGAGTGTCTGGAGGCAGTTGGAGGGTGGATGGCAGCTCACAGATTGAGGTTGAATCCTGACAAGACAGAAGCACTGTTTTGGGGGGACAGGAGGCGGGCAGGTGTGGAGGACTCCCTGGTCCTGAATGGGGTAACTGTGCCCCTGAAGGACCAGGTGCACAGCCTGGGAGTCATTTTGGACTCACTGCTGTCCATGGAGGCGCAGGTCAATCCTGTGTCCAGGGCAGCTGTTTATCAGCTCCATCTGGTATGCAGGCTGAGACCCTATCTGCCTGCGGACTGTCTTGCCAGAGTGGTGCATGCTCTAGTTATCTCCCACTTGGACTACTGCGATGAGTTCTATGTGGGGCTACCTTTGAAGGTGACCTGGAAACTACAACTAATCCAGAATTTGGCAGCTAGACTGGTGACTGGGAGTGGCCGCCGAGTCCACATAACACTGGTCTTGAAAGATCTACATTGGCTCCCATTACATTTCTGAGCACAATTCAAAGTGTTGGAGCTGACCTTTAAAGCCCTAAATGGCCTCAGTCCAGTATACCTGAAGGAGCGTCTCCACCCCCATCATCCAGCCCGGACACTGAGGTCCAGTGCCAAGGGCCTGCTGTCGGTTTCCTCACTGCGAGAAGCCAAGTTACAGGGAACCAGGCAGAGGGCCTTCTCGGTAGTGGCACCCGCCCTGTGGGACACCCTCCCACCAGATGTCAAAGAGAAGAACAACTTCCAGACTTTTAGAAGACATCTGAAGGCAGTCCTGTTTAGGGAAGCTTTTAATGTTTGATGGACTACTGTATTTTAATATTTTGTTGGAAGCCACCCAGAGTGGCTGGGGAAACCCAGCCAGATGGGTGGGGTATAAATTATTATTATTATTATTATTATTATTATTATTATTAACAACAAATTTCGGGACGTAGGTAACTTATCCAGGCTTAACAACTCAGCATATGTCCCACTGGGTTCCTTTATTTAGAAATGCTGTGCACTGAAAAGATCGCTGAATATTTTATTAAATGAAGTTTTCTTTCTTCAGAACCCTTGTCCTAGAACCTGTGCTTCCTTTAGTTTCTTGCACAGCAGGCTCCCCAGTACTATTTGCCAGTTTTGGAGACACTGCTCAGACTGACCTGCATTTGATGGTCAAGATCACAGCAAAAACAAAACAAACAAAAAAACCCTACACAATGTCTCATGCAGTAATGGATTGCTGCTTATGGTAACTCTAATGATTCCACCAGCGTGTTTGCACCACACCACCTGCATTACTGCCTCACCTGTCCTGCTATACCTCTTGGAACGCAGTGATAATGCAACTGACTAGAGGTCAGGTGACTGTTGCTGCTCCACCACGCTGTCTGATACTTGTCTTGTGTGACCAGAAAGACTCTAGTTTGTGGGCACAAACTTCTGTAGGCAGGCCCCACCTTTACCATTGTTCTAAGATCTTGCCTATGAAAGCTCACAACTCCATAAATCTGTTTGTTTTTAAGGTGACAGTGGACAATTGGTTTTTTATATTACCACAGATAGGGGTGATGTTCTGGAATTGTAGTACCTAAGTACAGTGGTACCTTGGGTTACATATGCTTCAGGTTACATATGCTTCAGGGTCCGCTAACCCAGAAATATTACCTCGGGTTAAGAACTTTGCTTCAGGAGGAGAACAGAAATTCTGCAGCAGCGGCAGCAGGAGGCCCCATTAGCTAAAGTGGTGCTTCAGGTTAAGAACAGTTTCAGGTTAAAGAACAGACCTCCAGAACAAATTAAGTTCTTAACCTGAGGTACCACTGTACTACAAAATAGTCAGAATCATCCTTTTGCAAAGCACCTGAGACCATCATTAAATAATTATTCAGAATCGAATGGAGATAGCTGCCACCTTTTGAAAAACAGCCTGGGCCAATTTCATGATGTTTTAAAATCTCTTCCCAGCTAAGGTGGAATGTCAGCTAAAGAGCCAACCAATGCTGGCATTTGGTGCTATAGTTACTGCCGTGACACTGGCACTGATTCTGTTAGTTCACTTGAACAAGCAGAACTTGGCATGGGGCTGTCACCAAGCCCAATGAGGCTTGCACATGTCAGGCAAGTTAATTCCTTCCGTCTGAAAAGACTTTCTCTCCACAGAGCTCTGGTGAAGTGACTCACTACTTTTCATGTGCAGTTTAAGCAGTGCTGAAAAATGCCCCCTCCCTTTTCAGTGATATTTCTGTAACACTTGCAAAAACATTTGCATGCATTTTAAGCTGGCTTCATTTCCTCACACTCTCAATTGCCCTTGTGTGCTTTCAGTGATCATGTTGTACATATCCCAATCTCCTAATGGCAAGAGAGACTCCAGGGGTTCCTGTGCTCCCCCAGGGTCCAGTTTACCTGGAGTGAAGGTCAGTGGAGACTGTGGTGTCTTTTGGATATATGTTTTTATTTACACAGGTATACAACCTGAGCATGGGACAGAGGAGTTCAAAGCATTAACAATCCAGCATATCTTTCCTCTTTGTTAGATTTCTAGTGAGATCCCCAAACCATAGCCTTTTGTCCTTCACAACGTAAGACAAACCTTGTGGAAGGGCTATAGCTCAATGGTAGAGCATCTGCCTTGCATGCAGACAGTCTCAGGTTCAATCTCTGGCATCTCCAGATAGGGCTGGAAATGTCTCCACTCTGAAAACATTGAAATCCACTGCCAGGTCCACTACCTCAAGCAGCGTCTCCACTCCCATCGTTCTGCCCAGACACTGAGGTCCAGCTTCAAGGGCCTTCTGGTGGTTCCCTCACTGCGAGAAGTGAGGTTTACAGGGAACCAGGCAGAGGGCCTTCCTGGTAGTGGCATCTGCCCTCTGGAATGCCCTCCCATCAGATGTTTAGGGAGGTTTTCATGTTTGATGTTTTATTGTGTTTTTAATATTCTTTTGGGAGCTGCCCAGAGTGGCTGGGGAAACCAGACAGATGGGCGGGGTATAAATAAATAAGTTGTTGTTGTTGTTGTTGTTGTTGTTGTTGTTGTTGTTGTCGTCGTCGTCGTCAGTGTAGACAGTGCTGAGCTAGATGGATCAGAGGTCTGTGTCAGTATAAGAGAGCTTTCTATGTTCCTAAGCTTCTGTGTCTCCAGCTTCCAACAGCAGTCAAAATTGACATGTACACACAGCCACCCTTGGCTTTTTGTTCTCCATGCTAGGATGAAATGGCATCCAGCCAGGTTGCCATTTGTCTCTATGAATAGAGGGCACCCTCTTTACACATGTAAATAGCAGTACTTATCTGGCCAGCTAAGGCCATTATCATACAAAGAGGCTGGTCTGACTGGTTCACTGGTTTCTTTTCCTAGATTCTAAACCTCCTTGAGGCCAGAAAGAGATACACAGATGACTGACCCACCCAAACCTATAAGAATATAAATCTAAATGGTTGTGTTAAGCTACATGATTTTATTACTAATATCCATTATTATAATCATATTTGATGTAGTATCATCATGTTAACAATATGATCCCTGGTTAGGTGGGATAGAGAATCTATGCAACTGGCTTCTTCTGGACAATGTTTTACTCTTAATGTTTATGGAAAGTTCTAAACCACTGTATTTTTGGGGGGAAATAAACCAAACAACTGCTACTCACATTCCATTTTCAGCAATCTAACTGTGCCTGCTTGTTTTCTTGTTTGTTTAGCAATCCAGAAATTGCCAGAGTTGGATTGAACTAAGTACACAACAGAATCTGAAAAATCCGTTTCCTGGCTGGTTAGAATAATCTTTCCCACATTTACGTATAGCCTAAAGCTAAGATTAATTAATGAACACAGTTACTTAAAAACAAAATCAAGGATTTCCATGGATTCAGTGGTGATTAACATACTGCCTAAATAGATCAAACACGTATAAGCTTCTTAACTAGGAGATGATTTGCCTTAGGAACTGAGAATAGATCCTTGAAGGTAGCCTCCTTGAAGGTAGCCTGCAGCTCAGTATTAGAAATGAACAGCTTATTGCTGTTGGTGACAGATAATATAGCTTGAATATTGGGATGTACTGGGAGACCTGTTCGGAGACCAAACCTTTCCCAATAAGTCTCCAAGTTTACATGGGCCACAATGCCTGACTATGTCTAGAACTCTCACTAAGGGATCCTTTCAAGAGATCTTTATCATACAGTCATATCTAGAGTACCTAGTTCAAGATTCTTGTAACAGAAAGGGAGGCAAGAGATGATGGGAAGGAAAATAAGCTGGGAATATGGGATTCTGTCTCAGTTCACCGCCCACCTCTGCCATGACCACTGGCTACACAACATATTGTTGCATGCCACCCTAATCTCTAAACAGGGTAAGATTTCAGGGGTTCCAGGTACTTACCCAGGGTTCAGTTTCCTCATAATGAGGGACAGCAGAGACTGTGATATATGATTTGTTTATATATATATATAACCTGAGCACACAATAAAGGGGTTCACAGCACAAACACCCCAAGAGGGTTTTGTTTCTACCATAGCCTCTGCTGTGGATTACAAGAGAAATAAGGCATGGCTTTGTCTCTCAGCTGCCCAGCTCACCTCAACTTGGAGTGTGGAGTTCCATCAGCCCCATCCCCTGCCACAAGGCACCGTGGCCAAGGGAGCTTGTTTCTCTCTCGGTGCACCAAGCACACAGAGGAACAATCTCCATCGGCCCTGCAAGGTGCAGTGGTCAATGCAGGGGCCCCTCAACCACAGGGCCCCCCAAATGTGCCCCCTCCCCAAAATGTACCCAGGGCCCCGGCCCCTGCTACCCCCCACACTACGCCACTGTCACCAACCACTCTTTCCATTCTATTAATAAGCTAGACTGTGGGCTTCTCCACACTTCTGGGTTTCTTGTGCCTAGAAAGCACGGGTTTTGCTATCACCCCGCTGCTTTCCTCCAGAAAACCTGCTCTTTAGTGATAAATAAGAACAAATGGTAATCTGCAGAAAACCCGATTGCTGTTTGTTCCAATTTAACACTAAAGAGTGGGTTTCCCTGGGGAAAAGCAATAGGGCAAATGAAGGTGTGGATACGGTAAGTCCTGACTGTTGGAAGGCACCTTGCCCCAAAGCTTTCCAAAACCTGGAGCTGACACTGAAAGTAGCAGTGGGATAGGAAGCTCAAGTCTAACAGCATTCCAATAGGCTTCAGAAATATGACTTGGAGTTCAGCATACACACATAGTGTATGTGCTATTTTATAGAGAGTCACGGAGCCGTAGAAGTGGAGGGGAGCAATCTATCTGAAATCACAATAATTGTGAGTTACCAGGTTTTAATGAGCTGCAAAGAGCCTCTTGGGAGCTCACCTGCATCCTCTCAAAATCCTTCCACTTGCTTCTCTCAGCAGAAAATGCAATTAGGAAAAGCGGCAAGTGTGATAAGATTCTGTGGTAAAATCAAAAGACATGAGCAAGGCTTTGGCTGCTTGGTGGTAATCAAATCAATTGCAGAAAGAAAGCAAAAATAAAAAATCAATGTTGCTATCTTTATACATCAACATAAACGTTTAGATTTTATTGCATCAAGAAAAGTAAACCATAATGAATCGACTGGGATTTCAGCAACATGATGCTCAAGATATGAAAGCTCAACGTGTTGAAGTTTACTCCATCAGATGCATACCCGCCTTTCAAATCTCAGTAGAAGGGATGAGTGGACATTAAAAAATGAGGACATTCAGTGTGGGAACATTTCAGTCTCGCCTGGCATTCTGTCTCTGACCTTAGCACTGCTGGGTTTACTGCTGATTTATTGCTGTGGTTTGTGAAAATTGCTCTGTGATGTCAGAACTGTATTTTAAAACCCAGTTGTTGTCTATCCCTGTTTTTTGTGGGGAGTTTTAAAGTTTTTAACATGCTATATTACTGAAACACTGTGAGCCATATTCAACCAATGAGTCCCAATCATGGCAACAAGAACTTCCACTAGCACAATTGGGCTTTCCCCCCTGTGTGTACCCCCCAAAAAAAAATATATTGAGGGGGGTCAGGATAACCCATCATTCCATCTGACAAGCTGAAGTGCTTCTGCGGTCAGAATGATTGCCATAGTACTACATTGATATGCTTCCAGTGTGTATATTGGTGTATTCTGCCTTGAAGGGGCTTTGTCTACAAAGGCAGCCTTCTTCTTCTTTGGTGATCACCAAAATAGCCAAGTAAGATTGGCTTTTAACAGTTTTAACTCTGAGTCCGTAAGTGACTGTGGAGGCCAATTCTGAATCCACACGTCCTTCCACAGTGGGGACATGCCTTCCTCTTAGTTTCTCCCATTCATCCTGAGTTTGATCGCCTTCAGAGGCAGCCTAGTAACATTTAAAGCAGCTAAATCAATAAATTAGCACTCCACACTTTAGAGGCAGGGACCGGTGTCAGCACCCAGCACTCTTGGAAGGCTGCCAGGGCATTGGTATCCTAGCAGGGTGCAGCACTGGCACCTGCCCTGGGCCACTTCCTGAGGCCAGAGATTTAGTTGGAACAGACAGTGGTGGCTGGTGCCCATTGTGATGGTGAGATGGAAGACAAGGAGTCCAACATTGGATGGAGCCAGAACCAACAACAGGCAGAGCCAGCTAACTTTAGTTGTTTCTCTGTCCTCCTGCTAGCTGAGTTCTATAAAGGCAACACTGAGGCTGGATCTACACACTTCAACTAAGCGTTTCAGTGAAACGTGTTGTAAACCCATACAGGGAAATCTAGTTGGGAAAGATGGGACTCCACAGTGCCATCTAGTGTCATAGTGTTATATGACATATACAATGCATATAAAATGCTTTTCCTTGACTAATCTAGCTGAGCCCTAAGACTGAGGAGGAATTGCCATGCCCTGGAGTGCTTGTAAGAGGAAAGAAGAAGGCTTGTGGGGGATGGCTGAGGATAGACCGAGAAGTCTGTTGCCAGCACTGGTGTGTGAACTTGGTCTATCCTAGCCACCACTTAATTAATTTCATTTATAAACTTATTTATATACCGCCAATATAACAAGTTGGTCTATAGCTGTATGGATATTAAAATATAAAACACCATTGAAAAAAACAGCGCATCGTGATCATTAAAATGATTGGCTGATCAAAAACATATGAACAGTTTCATAGGCCTGTCTACATAGACTGGTATTTAAGAAATGCCTGAAAATCAAAAGCAAAGATTGGAAAATCATTGCTCTGCATGAGACTGACAACACTAAATGCCTGACTTCTAGCAGAGGCCAGCCAGGCCCCTGGAACACAGGGGACAACTAGCAGCACTCTCTGAATGATCTTGGTTGTTGAGCTGGGATATGAGAGCTCAGGTGATCCTTAGATGACTCAAGCTGGACTCAAGTTGTTTGGGGCTTTGTATATTCACAAAAGAGCCTTGAACCTGACCAGGTAGCATATGAGCAGCCAGCGCAGATGTTTTAGCAGTGGTGTTCCATGTCTGCCTGCAAGAGCAATCTAGATGCTGCGTTCTGCATTAGCTGGAGCTTCTGGACCTGACCCAAGGGCAGTCCCATATAGAGCCCATTGCAGTAATCTATTCTCAAGGTTACCAATGCATGGACTTTAGTGGCCAGATTATTCCAATTCAGCTATGGCGTACCAGATGAAGCTGGTAAAAGGCATTCCTAGCCACAGAGTAACACCCCTAAGCCTCTAGT